TATATATATATAAATAATGGGTCAGCTTCAAACAGTGGGTTTTTAAGGATGTGGTTTACTCTCCAAGGTGTGTTTTAGTGGTTCCTGCCCAATTTTATTTAGCAATGATAAATGATAAAGTTAAGTTCTACTCTTGCTGGGATTATTTCAGCATAATACAGAAAATATTTTTTCCAGCCTCCTGGGTATTTGATACACTCTGGCCTATTTCCAGCATTTCTGTTTGACTGGTGGTCTCAGTCTCTCGCTCAGGCCCTCAGTCTGTTCCCACACAGACTACATCTGTCTCTCAGCTATCACACAGTTTAGATGATGGTCTGATATGCCCTCCTGTCTGTCCAAAGATTGGCCTGGACATGCACTCACATGTGCCTAAGTAGCAATATCCTATCTTGGCTCTTCTAGGAAATTAACCATATTTTCACTCTGACAATCATTGATTCTGTCCATATATACTGTATATCATATTTATCCTGATGAGGAAGATCCCATTCACTGTTTATGTTGTAAATTTATATAACCTCTGGACAAACCTGCACATATACAAAAGTTTTATTACCTGAGGGCCTATGGGGGAAGAAAGTACAAGCCTGGATTTACACTATTAATTTTAATGCGTGTTGCATTGCTTGTTAGTGTTCATTGAATTAAGGTAGCTCATTCATTATGAACAAAAAAATGCACATGACCCTTTTTATTTCAATGCAGTGCACCACAAAGCACAAGTGCATTGTGGTGCGTTGTGCGTTGAGTGTGCCTTAGCCTCTACCATACAGTGCATTAGGGTGCCATTTGCAATAAATGGCACCTCACTGCACACAGTGCCGTATGTTGAGGTAATTCACAGTAACACAACGCACAAGTTTAATGGGCTTCAAGTCCAACCCTGCTTGCAGACATCTTTTGTTTTTAAGTTTTTGTATTATAGCTCTAAAATGGTTAATGGCAGTTTTTGGTAACAGTAAATAATAAATCTGACAAATATGGGTATATTTTGTCTTTGAATGTATTTATTCAATAGGCATTTCAATTGTTCAATCTGTTCACCTTTGTTCTAGATGGTGCTGCAATGCACCATGCTACTGATTGTATATTACTGTCCATAGGTATGAAGCAAAACAAAAGTTTTATTTTTATAACATGAGATAGTTCCCCCTTGATGACAAAGGTCTTCCCTTACTGTTTATAGGATGAATATTTGTGACAGTCCAACAGATTGTGAAATAATTGTTTATGTTATACCATATATTATATCATGACCAAGGACCTATTTACACTTGTCTGTTTCCCTGCAGTAACACGCATGATTATTTTCCTTTTTCTCAAATTGAAATCCCACTCCTTCCTAAATGGTTGGTTTACATCCATGCTCTGCAATTTAGTGTGTTTTATAGGTAGACCATATGGTCACATTAACACCTAAGTGGGTTACCACTGAGCTGAAATGCATGTACTGTATATTGCTGTGAATGGGCTTTTAGGTAGGGAGAACTGTATATTGTAAACTCCTCTTAACATCATAATACAATGTTTTATAAGTTTGTTGATTTATTTTGAAAGTTCTAACCTGCGTACCTGAGGTTTAAATTTCTTCAAGAAGCGTATTGGATGTGACATCCA